CCCCTGCAGGGAGCCGCCGGCGCTCTTTGCTGGCCAGCAAACATCTGGGACTGCCCATATTCCTCCCCTGGAACCCTCTTCAGCACTTTTAACACAACTCCCCCGTTTTGTAGTCTCAGCCCACGCCACCTTTACCATGGTAAATCTGCACTTCCCATCGCGCCAGCCCCTGAGCTGCCCGCCACGGGACGGGGATTTGCTGGCTGCCAGAGGTGGCCCGATAAAGGCAGCCAGTTCTCGGCAGCAGCGCTGCAAGAGTCAAGATAATTCGAGTAAGCCTAAGAACTGGAGGTGAGAAGGTCTGACGCTTTGGAAGAAAGCTAAGGATGACAGAGGGAGGGCAGACAGACACGTACACTGTTTAGAAAGGGAAAAGCGGGGAGGGACAGCTACACCCAGGGCTGGCTCCTTCTCCCCCTCCACTACCACTTTTCACAGGTGCATATTTTGATGGAGTGGAGAGCCTGATCAAAGCAGGCAGGAATGAAGGAGGAGACCAAAGATGGAGCTTCAGGGAAAGAATAAATGAGTCTTTGCAGAAGACCTGCAGGAACGAGAGGAGGGTGGGCTCAGAATTCGTCTCCAGAGCGGAGGCGGGGAGGTGCTCTGCAGCCTAGCGCCTTTCTGAAGGCAGGTGTGCCCTCGCCGCAGCATCGGTCAAAGCAAGTATGCAAACTTGACAGGCAATGGATCATTCAAGAGAAGGCTGGACAGCTTGCTACCAGCCCCTTGAAATGCCAGGGTAACCTGGGGGCTGATGCTTCAGATAAGCCCTTATTCCTTTGTGGGGATTTCTGCAGGACAAACATCTTCACTGGCCTTGTGACCAGCGTTTCAGGTCAAGCATTGTGAGGGCCCCAGTGTTCAACCCCGGGCAGCTGACAGTTGCCTCTGGGCAGTCGGTCTAAGAGCTCAGCACATCCTAAGTGCAGTTTGAAGGCACTGCAGAGAAACGTTCTGGCTCGGCCGGAATAGAAAGCAATTCTTGAAAGTGCTCTTTGTTTCCCTGAAAAATCCAGGCTGGCATTCAGACTCCTGCTTGGGGTTTCAGTCAGAGAAGTTAGGACCAAAGTGTCAGAATTCAGAGTGAAAGCTGGAAAGTTGGACTATTTCCTTGTGTCAGAGAAAGCACGGGGAAAGAAAAAAATACACCCTGCTTAAAAACTTCACGTACATTTGCAAACCCACAAGTCATTAAACACAGAAAAAGCCATTAGTTCTGTAGGACCCACAAAAATGTCGTGCTCTCCCCCTGCTGACTCCGCAGTTTACCAAAAACCTTATTCCCAGCCCAGCGCTGTTGTGACTGGTAACACTGGGGCAGAGGCCTGCTCAAAGGCACTGGATTAAGTTATTGTTAGGAAAAAACAAAACACGTTAACTTCAGGCCCACAAAAGCCTGGGATTTGTAGAACCAGAGAGATCGAGCCCAGCAAAGAGCCACTTTGTTTCAGTCCCTGAGGAGGCCAATTCAAACTGGAGCAAAAGGAAAAGCTAAATTTCTAACAGCCTCTGAACGACCCCAATTTTTTAAAAATCAAATCCTGAAGCAACACCTCTATGTGTGTGTTCCATTTTATTATTATTTTGGTTGAAACCAGAAAGCTGAGGGTCAGCAGCAAGAACCGCATCGCTGAGAAACCGTGTTTATTTTACCCAGCCCAGGCAGGTTGGGATGTAAAGGCCCGTTAAGGTTTTATAGGCTGCCTGGATTTCCCATTCTGCGGATACAGAACCTGAAGCCCACCAGAAGGTGGACTGGAAGCAGCATTTTATGCACCGAATGAAATGCTTTCCTTGCTGCCGGAGGGACAAAAAGAGCCGGTGTTCCAGCGTGGGGCAGGCCACGCACTGGGCCAGCAGCTCCTCTGCTGCTGTCTGTGCGCCCGTAAGCGATGCTGCCCAGAGCAGCCGACCAGAACAGCTCCCACCTGTACTGGGCAGACTGGAGGGGGAGGCTGGAGGAGCAGTTTCTCTGCCTCAGCCAAATTAACTACGTTCCCAGGCTCTGCAGAGGGCTTAGAGGGATGTCAAGCAGCATCAGCACTGACCTGTGAACAAAGTGCATTCTTGTGGATCTTCTTGTAAATAAGAGCTGGGCAGATAAAACAAATGAGGCTTCCCATCGTCGCACCTGTCAGGCCCAGGACCGTTTCCACTGGCAAAGAAGAAGAAGAGCAATCAGCAACGGCCACTCTTCTAGCAGCAGCACACAGCGGCTGGCTGAGCCCCCAGGCAGGCTGGGGCGTGAGCCCAGCCATCCCACCCAGAAAAGCAAATAAAAGAGACCAGAGACAACAGCCAAGCAACCAGCCTTTGCCCCCGACGCCTCACTCACCGTTGGGGATCATGATGCCTCCTACCATGGTTCCAAACACAACAGCCAGGGTCAGGGCTTTGAACCGAAGCGGGGGCATGTAACCCCCAGCAGCGAAGGTGCCGTCTTTTTGCTGGAAGAGAAAGGGCGAGAGGGGGAGAACGAGTTTAGGTCCTGCATCAGAACCCCACAGCTCCCAAGCAGTCACCCCAGCAGGCTCCAGCAGCTTCGTCACCTCCACGCTCTGGTCTCCACAGAGGTGAACGCTGGGGGGGGGCGGGGGGGCACTTATATGTGGTTGAGCAGTTTTAATACACAACTGCATTTGAGCCTTCAAAACAAGAGTGACAGGGGGCAGGGAGCCAAAGCTGCTGTTTCCCTCCTGCCCCAGATGTGAACTGTACAGCTGTATCCGAATCGCCGTGCCAGTGCTGCAGCCGCCCAGGCTCAGCGAGCGGCCCCAAGGCCAAGGGCATGAGAAAGAGGCACAGCTGAGAAGGCAGGAGGAGAACGGTTACGGGGGGGAAGAGCTCTGGCTTTGCTACAGCAAGGTGCCCCCTAACACCTCCGGGAGCAGGGCTACAACACATGTACCGACTCCTCCGACCTGACGGAAGATATCCCATCAAGATGTCAGAGAGGATGATCGGTGCTGCTGGGGAGCTGCTGATACCAGAGGGTTTCCAGATGCCCTCCGCTTCCCATCCCATCCCCATACTCCCAGCAGGAGCTGCGGAAAGCAGAGGCTCCAGCGAACCCACATGCCCTGGAGAACCAGCGGGTCCCCGCTCTCCTGGCTACACAGACGGGAGAGGAAAGCAAAGTGACAGGTTCAGAGCCCAAAGAGCAACGAGCAGAGCCCAGGCAAGAACCAAAGTCTTCCCAAGTGTTTCCATTGCTTACTCCTCTGCGCCCGCTGGCTTTCACCGATCATCTTCCCCCATCCTCAGGCCCTCCCGACGTGAGAAAAGAGCCGGGGGCTTCTCACAGGCAGAAGTGGCAGGATTTAGAGCTATAAATTGCTCAAGTTTTATTTCCTGCCCTAAGAGGTTTCTATTTATGCAGATACACAAAGGCCTCAGAACATTCCCACAATCTCTTACTGTTATTTACTGAATACCATCGGCATGCTTAGTGCTGTACAATACACAGAGGAGAACACGCTACTGCCACAAGGGACTTACAGTCTAAATCAGACAGACCAACTATAGTCACAAAGGCTGTCTGAAGATCTGACCCTGGGAAAGGTGAACGTGTGGGAGAGGGCTGTGTTCCACCGTGTGCCTCTGCACCAGACCGGCACCAAACATCCCGGGGAGGCACTGGAGAAAGGGGACAGCTGAACCCGGAGGGGAGAAGGCTGCTCAGGGGGCTACTGAGAAAGGTGGAAGGATGAGAATAATAATAAAAGAGCAGAAATGAGCAGGCACACACAGAAACAAGAAGAAATAAGGCTGGGCTGGGCTCTGAGGCCAGGAACAGAAGCTTGAGCTAAATGCAAAGCAAGATCGAGTTGGCCAGCAAAAGGATGCCAGCTGGAGCAGCAGGAAATAAGGAGGCTCCTCTGTTTCCCAAAGCACATTTCTCCCTCTTTCTGAGGGGGAGAACCACTCGGCTCTGAACTGTGTAACACTTCTGCACAAGAGCCGAAATCCCCAGCGGAGCAGGAGAGCAGCAGCCACGGGACTTGGGGCGCAGCAGAGCAATAGCAGGCTTCGGGCACGCAACTCCAGTGCTTCCGCCCACAAAATTCCTCTGCAGAGAGGACAAGAACCTCAAAGTACCAGAGATTAACCATTCTGCAGAGCAGGATTTACACGGGCCTCCTGCTGCACCGTTACCACACGCCAGGCACTTACGATTTCACTGTCCGTTGAGGGTTTGTCCCTCTGGATAACGAGTACCTACCACGAGTCAGAAACGTGCTGTTGTCAACGGAGTCTCACAGAACCAAGGCACGTTTGTAGCCCAGGTCGGCAGGCAGCAGCAGAAGCCAAAGACTTGCAGTAGCCCTTCAGAAAGCAAGTTTCAAAGGTGCACACCAAGGCAGCCAGCTGCTCCTGGCCACACAAGAGGATCTTACCTGCTGCTCAAAGAGAAGGGTGTTCAGCGCCTGTCTGCACGGGAGAATCATCATTGGAAACCCCACAGCTACCGACATCATGAATCCCACTCGAATCATCTCCGTCACAAGGTTGGAAGGGAAGTTCATTAGGACGTTCCCAGCAATGGCTTCAGTGTAACTCACGTAGCCAAAGAAGCCCACCTGTCCGGCAGGAGGGGAGGTGAGCAGATGGCGTTTGACCCCAAAGCCCATCCCCATCTGCTCTTTACAAAAGGCTGGAGGTCAGCGACCTCCCGTGAGTCAGGACC